GGGCGGGGCGCGGGACGGAGGCCGCTCTCCTGCGCGCCGCCGCGCAGCGTCCCCGGCCAGAGCGCTGCGCGGGCCCTGGGCGGCCCTGGCGCGCATCGCCTGGCCGCCCTCGCCGCTCGCCCGGCCGGGGTGCGGCGCGGAGCGCGCAGGAGAGCGGCCTCCGTCCCGCGCCCCGCCGGCAAAGCGCGCAGTCTGGCCGGCAGCGCGGCGGCGGCTGGGCCCGGGGCTCCGGCGTTCTCTTGGGGGAGGCTTCCTCCCGCAGCAGCTCCTGGCCCCACATCTGGGGGCGCCCTGGGGCAAGCGGCCCTCCCAGGCGCTTGTGTGCCCAGCAGTCCGAGCACAGCAGCTTGGGCCTCAGCGCTTGGCCCAGAATAGCGAGCCGTGCCGGGCTCGCTTAGACAGGGAAGGCGCCCGCAACTCCCGGCGACTCACACGAGCCTCTAAACACGCCCGGGACCGCGCTTTCAACCGGTGGCTCTTCAGCGGGTCGATATTCGCGACGTGTGCAGGATGGGCGGTGCATACCCACGCAAGCGTGCGCTCGGGAGCACCGTGCTGAGCGCTTTCCATGCGCCCTCACCGCAGTTCGCCTCTCCCCACCCTCAGGAGCTCTCTGACCGGGCACCTGTCGGGCATCCTGGCCGGGCTGGCCCTCGCAGCAGCGTCCTGGCGCCCTGGCATTGGCTGAAGTGCATCGCCCGGGCCTGCAGCCGCACGGGGAACATGGGCTCCATTCTGCCCGTGGAGACGAGGCAAGGGAGGCACCTGGCTCTCCTGCGCCTGGTCGGCACGCACACGGCAGCCGTTGTCTCGTGAAGGTGTGACGGTGCATCAAGGGAAATGGCAGCCTCTCGAAGGACCAAAATAAACGTGCTGTGCCAGGCGGGGGCACGAGGGAAGCTCACCCAGAGCCGTTCCATGATTTGTGGTGCGCCGGCAAGAGAAACGCGCGGGCGCGGCAGGCAGGGAAACCGTGGCCCCAGGCTGTGCGCAAGCTGGCCACACCGGTGGCTCGGCAGAAGGAAAGTCCTGCCCACTGCCCCCCACTCCGTGCGCCCCCCGCCCAACGCGCCCGAGAGCGCTGCTCTGGGCATCCTGTGGCTGCCCCACTTCAGCCCCACCGGCACGGAGCCTGGGCTGGGAGGGGGTCCGCAGGGGCTCCTCCAGAGCTCAGCGGACAGGTCAGCCTGACCAATGGCCTGGCGGTCCCAGTGCCTCTCCGGGGGCTCCCCTGCCGCCTCCACAGCTATCCAGTTCTGCTATCTCAGGGCAAAGTCCAAGAAGACTCGAGACTCAGAAGCATAGTTTCTAAATAGATTTTTCATACAGATATTCATAGACATTTGAAGTGCAACAAGTTTTGTTTATATATTTTGTGAGTATATAGATATATCTTTAAAAATGTAGTCCATATTTTTCTTGAAAATATAAACTCCAGTCTTCCTCAAAGGAACACCCCTTCTTTCCCAGAGGGGAGATGAGGGGCTACAAAAACACCCCAGCTAACACACACGAGGCTGGACTGGCGGAGCACTGTGAGCGATCGCCGCCTTTGAAAAGAGCCCTAGAATGAAACGGTGGCGGCACAGCATGTGCGAGCAAGCTGGGCGACAACACAATTCAAAAACGGAATCATCACCATTCCCTTAGCAAAGCCATGATTCTCTGCTTCCACATAATTAAGATTTGGAAAGAACATTTCCACGCGTCTAATTTTCTGCTTGCAAACAAGTGGAAATCAGATGACTAAAATCTAAGTTTGGACAGGCTATCTGATGTCACAGGCTTGCTTTTTGCTTTCTAAAGCTGAGCGACACGAAACACAGCTTCTGAAAACATGGCTCAGCAGGCACTGTTTGACCCAAAGGTGAGGCTGGCGGAAGACGCACGCGACGGGCTTCTCGTCCCGCCTGGGGTGAAGCGCGGAGCGTGGCCGGGGGATGCAAGCCGCGGTCGGCGGCGCCCAGACCAGGTGAAGCGCCAGAACTGCGAGCCCCTCAGCCGGGGCGGAGAGGAAGCGCTCCCTCGTCTTCCAGCCGCTCCCCCAGAAATCCCCAAGCGACACCTCGACCGATCCATCTGTACGGCGATGGGCAGCAGGTGGGGGGCGAGGGGAACGGCGGGGTAAGGCTGGGGGCGAAATGGCCACCGGGCCCCGCTTGCCTCGGAGTTCTGCACAGGTGCAGAAAGGCCTCCAAGGAATCCATCGTGTTCGCAAGCGGAGGCAGCGGAAGGAAGCCCGGAACGCTCCTGGCCCTCCCGGAGGGGGCCGTCGTGCCGTGGGACAGGTCGGCGGTGTTCCCGGCACCACGCAGGCCAGCACAGGCCCAGAGGCCGGGCAGATTCCCCGCCGGGAGGCCTTTATTGCTTCTCCGCTCCTCTGGTGCAGCGGAATTCAAGCCATCTCTCCCGTTTAGTGCAATTAAATCATGAGAGGAGAGGGGGGAGGAGGAGGATGGAAAGCGGAAGGCCTTCCTTCCCCCCCAGCGGGCCACCGCGGGGGGCCAGGCCGACTGGTCTGCAAAGCGAGGGGGGAGCGGCTGCCTGCTCCCCGGCAGTCCCTGCGGACCGGCAGCCGGGCCTCCTGGGAGAAGGGAGGTGATGATGGCGGCGGGGGTGAGGGGAGCCGGGGAGCTCTGGGGACAACGCGAACTCGCGCCTCCGAGGAGCCGTGCCCAGCATGCACGGCTCCTGGGAACGATGGCCCCACCGAGACGCTGCGGGGAGGCAGGGCCCCGCGGCCTCTCGCCCAGCTCCCCGGGGGCCAGCGCTCCCGCCCCACCCCAGCAAGGCTGCTGCAGCCGGACGCCCCCTCGATGCACGGTCTTGGGCCCGGCCCCCGCTCAGGCAGCAGAGAGCGAAGCGCCCGCACCCCAGGCGGGCAGAGGCAGGGCCCTGGCGGGGACTCTCCCACGCACGGGGCAAGCGGGGGGCGGCTCTGGCGACGCCGGCGCTACAAGAAGGGGTTGGTGGGGGGATGCTTTGCCACAGTGAAGGGGCCGGCGGGTGCCGCGGCCATCGGCGTCTGCAGGGGAGAGAGAACGGCGGCTGTCAGACGACCCAAGCGGGCTTCGCGAGAGTCTTAAAACAGCCACACGTTTTGAAGGCTGGAAAAGGTGCCCACTCCCACCCCGGATGCAGGACAGCGTCTCCCGAACCCTGTCGGATTCGTCCTCTGCTGGGCCTCCCTGCACCTGCCTGGACAGAGCCACACGCCCCACCCCTGCCAGGCAGGCGGAGGGGGCAAGGGAGCCGGGGAGTCGTGGGGCAGAGCGTGGCACGGCCTCCTTACCACGAAGGGGTTGGTAGAGATGCCAACTGGCTGTCCAGGGGGCCTCGGTCTGGGAAACCCGCTGAAGGGGGACCCTGAAGGGGGCAAGAAGAAGCGAGGGTGGCGGGGGGAGAGAGAGAGGAGGGCATCTTTACGGCCAGGGAAAAGGCCTCCGGCACCTCGCCCTTCCCCCGCCAGAGGGCCTGGCTCAGCTGGGAAGGCCCCCCCCCCATCCACACGCAGTTCCTCGGGGTGGATCTCACCCCGATTCAGGTGGGTTTGTGCCTGGGATGCAGACGGATTTTCCTCCCAGACCAGGCACATCCTGCTTGGGACGCAGGCGGCACCCTGGGTTCTGGGAACGGGTGTGGACGGCTGTGGCGCCCCGGAAGGTCCCAAGGGGGCCCGGCCACAGTGCGCTCGTGCCCCCACATGCGCCAAGCGGTGGGGCAGCTGCTTCGCACGGAGAGCAGAGCCTCGCACACGCTCGGAAACGGACATGTTCGAGCTCCGCCACGGGTGGAACGATCAGGATCCTTCCCCGCACCTCCCGGCCACGGGAAGCAGGGCACAAGCCCCACAGGCGACCGAGCCTTCTCGGGACTCCCCAGGTGCAGATCCTCACAGCCCAGGAAGGCCACAGCCTTCGGCTCGCACAAAAGGGGGCTGGGCCGGGGCTCCTGGGCTGCCAAGCTCTGCGGCCTGCAACCTGAAGAGCGACGGGCCCCCCGAAGGCGTGTGGAACAGCCCCACCGGCGCCCCCCAAAGGCGAACACCGTTACCGCCGTTCTGCTGTTGTCCCAGCACCACCTGGGGAGGGAAGAGGGGCGGCTGCGGCTGCATTGGCGAAGCGAAGATGCCGGAGAAGCTGCTGGGGGAGCCGACCATGAAGGCGCCTGCAAGGGGAGGGCCGAGGGGAGCGAGGGGAGGGGCGCCACGGGCTCCCCCCCCCGAGAGAACAACGCGCCCCCGAGCCCCACGCTGCCCAGGCCAGGTGCCAGGTTGCACAGGTATGTGGGCTCCATGTTAGTGTGGCCACCGGCAGGCAGCCGGCTGAGCCACGTGACGGAAAGCCAGGGCCGGCGTCCCGAACCAGCTCCGGCACCTCCCCCAAGACGGGCCCCACCCCGCAGAGCCACCGAAAGCCCCAAGGGGCCTGGGTCCGGCAGGAGGGCTTACCTGGGGCCAAGCCGTTGGTCTGGAAAGGGTTAGTGGAAGGCAGCGCCGGCTGGGAGGCGGCGGCGAAGGGGTTGCTGCAGGCTGGGGGCGAGAGAACGAGAGATGCGGAGGCGGCGCAGGGACCCGGGGGCAGGCCCCCAACGTGGGGGGGGGAGCGTATACTTACCCCCATACGCTGGGGCCGGGCTGGGTGGGGGCAGCACGGGCGACTGGCTGAGGGCCCCAAAGACGCTGGCGGAGAGAAACACGCCTCAGGCACGGAGAGGGCGGGTATCCCGGGGGCGACCGCTGCTGCCGCCTCCTCGAGCGGGGAGGCGGAGGGCCGAGAGCAGCCCCCGGCCCAAGGTGCAGGCGTCCACCTAGGCCCGGCGCGGCCAAACCGTCCCCGCGGAGTGGCTGACCACAGACGAAGCCCAGGAAAGCGAGCTGAGAGAACGCCCCCCCCCCCCGAGCCTGGCATGTTGCCCGCCCCATCGTGATCCAGGCGGGGGCGCTGTGCCGTCCAGCCCCCGCCCCACCTGGCCCAGCCTTGCCGGCAGCATTCCGCCGCTTCCTGTGGAAGCCCTTCTGACGCCCGGCAGGAGACGCTGTCCGGGCCGAGCCGGGAGCCCTCGGGCGGCAGAGCTGGGCTCTGCACCGAGCCGAGGCCCCGCCAAGCCCACCATCCTTGGGCCGGCCTGGCTCAGGTGCCCCTTGCCCGACCGCTGCAGTGGGAGGAACTGGGCCCAGCAGGATTCGGGGCGCGCCGGGAGAGAGCCCGCCGCATCCCCGCTCGGGAGATCGCATCATGGTCCGAGCACGATCGGCCGTCCCTCGCTCTGAGCCGGGGGCTGGTCCGGGCCAAGAACGACCGTGGTCCTCGGCCGCTGGCCCATCGCATGACCGGCGGCCAACACGGACCCGCTCAGGGGAACGATCCGCGTGGCATCGAGGGAGCTGCCTGTGCCGCCTCTCCCTTGAATTAGTTACCGTTACCGGGCTCATGCGATGGACCGAGGCCAAATGTGCCGCATGCGCTCTTGCTACTGGGGTGAAACGCTTTTGAGGGCGTTTCTGTGGGAAGGTGGGGCGTGCGCGAATGGGCTGAGGGGGCACTCAGCCCCTGCCCCCTCTGGGGCAGCGCCCGCCCAGAATGGGGCGTGGGATCGGCCCCCACGTGGCTGCCGCAAGCGCCTCGGGGCTGTCGCAGGGCGGATCAGCCCGCCGGGGAAGTACCTGCTCGGGACGCCTCCGACTCGGAAGGTGCCCCCCATGTCGGGAACGCCCATCACCGGCTGGCTGGCAGGGGAGGCCGCGAAGCCGCTCACGTGGCTGCCTCCTGCGTGGGGGGAGAGCGGAGGGGAGGAGAGACCCCATGAGCAGAGGACCGGGCTTTAAAGCACGTGCTCCACAGCGGCGCCGAGGGCAAGCGGCCCTCTCCCGAAGGCAGCACCCCCCATCACTTCCTCCCGTCCTCTTTTAGGGCAGCAAGTGCTGTAAGAAGCCGAAGCCAAAGGAAGCGATGCTTTCATTCGCTCCACCCCAAACTGACTCGCCGATCAATCAAACCCCAAATGACAAGCGCGAGAGGATTCCCCCAGTCGGGGGACAGTCCTCTCTGTCACACGGGGAGGAGGAAGGAGCGCGTCCCCGTGAAAAACCCAGGGATCCGAACCGATCTCGCTGCCCAGAGACAGGCGCTCCAACGCACGACGTGGCCTCCACAAGAGCGAAGGCGGACCAACCGGGCCTGGCTCTCCCTCCCCACCTCCCTCCCTCCCCACCTCAGAGCCATGCTCGGGGCTCCCGGCTCTCCCCACACGGCCCTTCCCGGCAGGGCTGCAGGCCGGCCCTCCTCCCCACAGCCTCTCTGGCAGCCCTTGAGAGCCCGGCCCCCAGGAGGCCGGCAGCAATCCCTCCCCTCGCACGGGGCCGGCGGGCCAGGCCTTCCCGAGGGGGGCTGCGGGCATGCGGGAAGCATTACCTGCTGGCATGGGCTGGCTCTGAAAGGGGCTGTGGCTGGAGGCCAGCGTGTCCCCGAAAGCGGCTGCTGCAGGGCTCCCCCCAAAGGCATCGAAGCTGGCGAAGGCCGCCGGGCCGGGCACTTGGCCTAGGAGGGACACGGGGCAGAGCGAGGGCTGGAGCGGGCCCTGCACGGAAGGGCCGATGCTGGCGAGGGCCCGGCCAGAGCGCGAGGGGGGAGAGGCAGCCTGGGGACCGTGCAGGGGGATGCCCGGGGGGAGGAAGGGGGGAGGGGGCTCGCTCGGCTCGGCTCCCCTCCCCTCAGGCCCCCAGGAGCACGCTGGCCCGGGACTCGGCAGGGCCGGGCTCTCGGCAGCACCGCCAGTCACAGGCGCTCGGCCTAGCCTACCTCGCAGGGCTGTAGTGAGGACACGGTTGAAAGGAGGGGCCCGGTTCCCTTGCAAGAGGGGTGCGAGGGCAGAAGCGGGGGGCGATTCTGCGACTGACGCCGCATGGCAGGCGAGGGGGCTCCTCGCCACGGGCACCATCTGCTTCCACTGCTGCCAGACGTGGACGGTTCTGAAGCAGGCGGCCGAGGCAGACCCAGGGGGAATGGCTCTCGGCAGCCCGTGGCCTGACTGCCCCGTGGCCCGTGGTCGGGGAAAGGCGTCTTGCAGGCATGGCCTGCTTGTGGCCTTCCTGCCGGCCTCTCTGGGGAAGGCGGCTGGGCTGGGCTCTGCCCTGGCCGGCACCCGCGGGGCCTTTCCTGCAGGCCGTACGGGGCGAAGAAGCCCCCCACGGCCTGCCCACCTGCTCCACGGGACGGCCCCCCGCAGCTGGCAGGCCGAGGCGGTGGCGTCCCTCTCGGCCCCCCACCCCGGCCCCCCGTCACCGCGCCCCGCCGGCTCCTTTTCCAAACGATAAGGTGTGCTCGCAGGCGCCGTCCTTCAAGGGCCGTGGCTGCACCTGCCCGTGCTCGGCTGCGCCCTCTCCCGCACCTCCCCTGCAGGTGCTGCCCGTCCGGGGAGGGCGACGGACCCGCCTCGGACCCCTGACGCTGCCGGTCCGCCAGGTAGGCTCTGAGCAACGGCCCTCCAGACCACACCTGCCCCCCCCGCAAGAACGGATGCTACTCACTCCCGAAGGCGGGGAAGGCGGGGAAGGTGGGCCCGGGTGGGGGGGCCGCAAAGGGGTCCCCCCCTATGTCCGCCAGGAGGTCCATGCTGGCCTTCTTGGCGGCCTGGGGGAGCTGTGGCGGGGCTTTGTCCAGAGCCTGAAAAACAGAACTGGTCACCCGAAAGCCCCCCGGGACCCCGGCCTCCCGCAGCCGGGCCCCGCACCCACAGAGCCGGGGCTGCCGCCAGCCAGCGCCAGCCCCACTTTCTGCCCGCAGCCAGGGAAGAGATGGGGGGCTCCGGGGCCACATGGGGTGGGGAGCCACTGCGTGGCAGTGCCTGGGCGCCCCTCGCCTCCGGGTGCCTCCTTCCCTGGAGCAGCGGCCAGGGCCCCTCGTCTTCCGCCGGCCACGAAGCCGCTGGCAGGCAGCCATCGCTCGTCCGCACCCACCCGCCGGGGCCGGGGGGCCGACAAGCACACGGGGGGGGGGCGAGGTGCTCCCTGCCCAGGGGTGCTCGGGGTGGCCTGGGGAGGAGGGTCCCGCTCCGCAGCTGGGCCAGCGTGGCGCCGGGAGCCCCCACCTGAGCAGGCCTGGCCACCGCAGCTGCCGGCCCCGCGTCCCCCAGCAGCGCCTTGGCCTCCGCGGGGGAGGTCTGAGCCGTCCAGGAGGGCAAGCTTTTGGCCTGCTCCGGCGAGATGTACCTGCAGGAAAGCCCAGAGGAGAGAGGAGAAAGCCCAGCGTCACCCAAGACGTTCCCCCCACACGAAGGGCCCCGGCCCCTTCCCTTCGCGTCCTATTCTTTGTGAAAACTTGGCCCTTTGTTCTGCCTGCCCCGAACCTTTACGAGACTGTCTGAGGCTCCTCACAAGGTGGCCCAACTGAATAAGGCACAACGGGAGGCCCCCAAAGGGAAGGGCTTTCTCGGTGGTGGCGCCTCAGGGCTCCCCGGACACTTCAGTCGGTCTTCAAAATGCCAGGAGGAGGTCGCCTTAGGCTTCCAGGCTTGGTAGAATTTCCCAGTTTAAGGAATGTGTTTGCATTTATTCAGATCTTTGTACTGCCACCGGTTTACTACATAGTCCTTAAAATCTGCTTTACAACGGGCATTGCTACGTGCTCCCATTATTTTATGGTTCCAAGCTACCCAAAGAGCTGCAGCTACAGAGTGAATCGAATAGAGTGAATGCATGAGATAGAAACATAGAAACAGAGAAGCAGAGCAAGCCAGAAGGGGTCCCCCGGGCCATCTAGTCTGACCCCAGCTCTAGCTGGCTCCGCTCACGACATGCCCACCATGTGGACGTCCAGCCTATCCTTGAACACCCGCACCGATGGGGCCTCAGCACCTCCATGGAAGCCCATTCCACACCCTCGGACATCCAGCGTGCGCCCACTGGCAGAGGCAGCCCCCCCCCGCCCCCGCCCCCTCACCATTTCTTCTTCTCGTATTTCTCCTGCAGGAACTCCTTCACTTTCTGAGGGTCTTGGGAATCTGGCAGCAAGGATGTCCGCGAGTCAAAAGTGCCCAGCCAGATCTTCCGGCAGACCTGAGGAGGGGCGGCAGAGAGAGAGAGAGAAGGCTGCCAACGCTTCTTCCGAAAGGGACGAGTGAAAGGGAAGGAAGGCCACCAGGCCCCACAAGCCTTCTCCCCCCGCCAGAGCAGTCAGAGCATGCCCACGGTGCTGTTGCCCGGCTTCCGTGCCAGCTGCGTGGAGGGTGATCGGTGATGCAAAGGCAGTGGATCATTTCGACAGCAAAGGCCATCTTAGTTCACAGGGGCTCACCTCATTCCCACGGGACTGCAGGAACTGCACCTCCCTCTCCGTGAAGGTGGTCATAGAGATGGCTTTGACCCTGTGCGGGGGATTCAGGCCACGGCTGCAGGGGGGAGAGAAGCACCCACCAGTTACGGCCACCGACTGGTCCCCAAGGCTCTTGCGAGGGGGGAGCCCGAGTGGCGAAGGGACGCAGCTTCGTGGGAGTCCGAGGAACTCCGTGCTTTGCCCGCGAGACTCCCTGGTGAGCAGCGGTGCCGGCGGCAGACCCCAGTCCCCGGGCGCACGCTTTTTCAAATTTATTTTAGGTTTCGTAGTACATAACTCAGTGGGGAGTTCAGGCTTTCGGGAAACAAAGCCAAGCAGTACCCAGGCGTCAGCGTTGGCTTCTCTCGGCTCCGTCAGGCCCCCATTTCCTACCACTCCAAACTGCTGAGGTAAGGGCTTCCTCGGTGGCAGTTAATTATTGAAAGGGCCGGGAATGAAATATCCAGGATTGCACTTGCAATGTGAAATCGACACAGGGCTGGACTGGGACCCGGGCCATCCCGAGCAACGGCCCAAGAGGGAGGCGCCAGGGCTGGCTCCTGCTGCCCTCCGCTCCCGCAGTTCCTCCTTTCCACGTGCCCCCCAGGACTGGCCGCCACGTGCGAGAGCCACGTGCTCCCAGCCCTCCTGCCTCTGCAGAGAGGGCCCGGCCCGGGGGCACCCCAGCCGGCCTTGCCCGCAGCCCTCCGCCCCTCGCGGTGGCCCCGGGTCCTCCTGAGCCACAGGCCAGGCACGGCCCCATTCATGCCTCCTCCTCGCCACAGAACCGGCTGCCGCGCTCTCCAGGCCCCGGCTTGGGGCGCTGCACCACAGCTAAGCGGGGGCCCCCCTGCAGCTGCTCATCGGCCGCGCGAAGGGCTGCACGGGCTCTGTGATGGGGGGGAAAAGGGCACCGCCACGGCTGCTGTCTTCCACACAGGGCGGCACCTGAGAGAGCCAGGCCGGGGGGGCACGGGAGGCCCCCCGCGGCAGTTAACCCTGGCAGGAGAGACGACGACCCTCTCGGGTCGCCTGGCGCACATGACTGCATTGGGCACTGCCGACCATCCGGCACTCTTTCCAGCTGCCCAGCCGGGGCCCGCGAGACCCCACCCCATGCCAGCCCTTCTCCGTGGACAGCACTGGGGGGGCGCCGGGCCTGCGAGCCTTTTATGCTCCGCACGACGGCCTCGGGCTTGCAGGCCCCCCATGTCAGTCACAGGCCCCCATGCTACCCCCCCATGGTCCTCAACACTGCAAGCCACTGGGAGAAGTTTCGGGGTTGATGTCATCAGGATACTGCTGGCGCCCAAGCAACTCTGCCCAACCTCCGCATCGAGGAATCCAAGGGGTCCAATGAACTCCTGAAGCAAAACGATACACGGTTTGCCACGGATGGGAAAGACGAGAGAAGCTTAATCCGGGGTGCAGGTTCTGCGGCTGTCCTGGATGCATCTCCCTCGTGTTCCTGGACCCCTCACAGCCTGGCCAGTTCCAGGGAGCGGCTGCGGGCAGCCTGGCCAGGCCTCGGCGGCCCATACACGGCTCACCCTCTAACCGGGCGGCTGCAACGGGCTACTGCAGGGCTGCCTCAATGCAGGGTGGACGCTGCGGCCAGTGCAGGACGCAGGCGCTGCGAGGTCTGGGGTTTGCACCGGTCCGGCCTGGGCCAGCAGGACCCCAAACCCAGCGCTGATCTGAATCAAGCCCTAACGTGTCCGCAGTGCGGGGACGAGGCTCGTGCGGTGCGGCTCTTCCCCGGCGATCCCGCGCCAGGGCTCCTCCTCGAGCGCCTGCCCGCGGCTGAGACCCGCCGGCTTGGCGGCGCCGCGGGCAGGGCCTTCTTGCGGGTGGCCCGCACCGAGGCTGCTCCCTGCGCCGGGGCGTCCGGCGGGGGGCTGCGGACGTCCTCGTGCCCCCGTCTGCGGGCGCTCGCCGCGCCTGCCCGCCCCGCGTGCTCCGAAGGGAGGCGGACACCCGCCTGGCCTGCGCGCCGGGGTCGATCGGCAGCAAAATACGTGGCCACACTGGGCGATCGGCTGCAAACGCGGCGCGCAGAGGGAGGGAGGGAGACGGTCACGGGGCGCGGCGCGGATCCGCACGCAGGGGGCGCGGCGGGGCTGCCCGCCGAGCCCGCCCCCGCCCGCCGGCACGCCCCTCCGGAAGCCGCCCAGGCCCCGCGCAGCGCCCCCGCCGCCCGC